AATAATTCAGAAAGTGTTGTACCTAGACTATATATATCATTAACAATAACATTTCACAAGTTGTTTAATATGGATGGTTAACAACTTTACTCCAAAAGGCAGGTCCACCGCTCAGATAATGTTAACATAGTACAAGTTTTAAAAACAGAAGGTCAAATCATGTTTTGCTGACTGAGAAGTCATATGACACTAACTTCAGTTTACATAAACAAATGGTCAATATGTTCTGCATCGTAGACAGCACATAAGAACCTTTTCCACCCAGAAATCAAATACCTTATTTCTTCTAAGCTTATTTCTGCATATTGTGCCCATATTGTTTCCTTCAGTTCATTTTCCATAAATGGTTTGATGTGTCCTTGATCAGGGGCGCCGGAATGGCGCTAGGACTAGGGTACCAAAAGATAGGGGTGGAGGGTCCTGGGGGGGGGGGGGGTGTCTCTTTTCCCCGGGCCTCTAGAAAATTTTGAAATTTGTCAATTCTGAGAATGCTGTTTAGAGCTCCGCTAGCATTCCAAATTCCAACATAAAACCCTTTAAAATACATGATAATGAAAGAGACAAAAGCCTGATTAATTACAATTTTCGTATCATGAGCAATTCATCTCATAAAAAATTCTTTTTAATTTGACATTCAATACACCAATCTTCATCAAGAAAATAGAATAAGCTTTTTGAACGAGACAGTAGATTTAGAGACATGTGGCCAAGGCATGCACTGATAGCTGATAATGAGAGTGCGACCGACCAGAGATCAATTACATATCTATCATTTAAAAATGAATAGACTTGTAAAAAGGTTGAAAATTTTCATCATTAAGGCATCATCATGGGTATACATGTATACCCCAGAAAAGGGCAGGGTACCATTTGTATACCCTGGTACCCAGGTTCCGACGCCCCTGTCCTTGATAAACCTTTTTCAAACCACTGTTCAAGATTGCACAATTGATCAGATTCAGATCCGGGGACTGGGGTGGCCACTGGCCTTTTTTTAAAAAAAATCTACAGTGGCTTTCCTGATGGATTAATGGATTAATAATGGATTGCCATTGACTCCATCCAAACAAAACAACTATGTATTCCAGCCTGGTGGGACTGCAAACCACAAAAACTCGAGAAGGCTACCCAAGACTTAACCCTTTCACTGCGTATACCCGGTAGTACCGGGTATTATAAAATGTCGGTAAAATGCCCGTACCCGGTATTACCGTGTACTCAGTAAAGCCCTCGCTAAAATTAGTACCGTAACTGCAAGTGCCATCTATTGTATTTTCTATACACTAGAAAATATTTCCACGTGTTTCAGAGCGGCAAACCGTAAAATGGCGGAGTGCATTGTGACAACGTAGACGATGCACTCTCGACGAAGTCGTGAATGACGTCTTGCTGACCAACATGTGGACAATTTCGAGGCGGGTGATACACATAATTCGTTTCCAGTTACTTGATAATGATAGTAGTCAGGACAGTGATTGGTATTATGAAGTGTGTGATTTGTTGCGCGACGTTCCGCCCATGGCTAGCTATGTCTCCCGTGCATGATGAACAAGCCCAATGTGAACACGATAGCCCTGTGTCTGCAGTAGATTCTGACAATAATTCTGATGTTGATAATAATGCTGGCCTGCTGGATCGTAAAATACGTAGGTAATTCCTGATTCCCGAACGTGTAGATCTATTGACTGACTATATTGATAATGATATAGGACTTGGGGATGAAAGTGAAAGTGAAAGTAAAATCAAGGTATTGCAATCCGCACGTGGTCATGGCAGCGGGAGACGTGATGCGCGTGTTCGCGGCGGCATTGCTCATGGCTGCTGTTGATATTTTTGTTCATTTTATATATCTTTATCAAAATCCAGTAAAAAAAACAATATCTTTTAAGTATTTCATGGAGAAAAATTCGTTTTCGTGTTAGCTTTAGTGTGAAATGAGAAATCCAAAATGGCCGCCATGACGTCACGTGACTACATTATTATGCAAATTTCCAAAATTCTATTTTTTCCTCTTAGCCCAACCTCATGCCCATCCCAACAGACAAAAAGATTTTTCATAAAAGCTTCCATAAGTACTGCTTGGCATTCAGTTCCAACCTCCCTTTTTTCCTCAAAAAAGGGTCTAGCACAGGCAGTGGATTTACGTCTAGCATTGAAAGGGTTAATAAAGAAAACAAATTTATTAAATAATTACTTACAAATGTGATGTGTGACTCTAAATTTAATCTCCATATAAAACAGTCTTTATAAAAAATGATCAGTGACCGCACAGTCCCATGGATTCAGTCCCGGCAAAACATTATTTTACATTCTTTTTTGAAACATGTACTATGTTAACACTATTTGAGCGGTGAAGTTGCAATCTGGAGTGAAGTTGTCAAACATTCATATGAAATATGTTATATACAGGTCACAATACAATTACTGCTTATTACTGAGGGACATTGCGACTAGGCTTCTCTAGTCATTATACAGTCATTATCAAGTAATGACTAGAGAACCCTAGTCCCAACATCCCTCAGTAATAAGCAGTAATTGTATTCCATAGAGTTGTGACCTATATATTCCAGTTCAATTACTAAATGCCATTTAAACAATTTATGTGAAATGTGAATGATAATATGTACTGTAGGCCATAACTTTTCTTCGAATTAGATGAAACTTAATAAGCGCATAACAAAACTATATATACTTAAAGCCGGTGTGTATTTTATACACTTACAGCTATTTAAATTTACTCAAAGTCACAAATATAGACCTCCCCTAAAAATGACTTTGCCAAATATCGAAAACACTCTTAATCCCCCAAAGGCCTGTGAAGTAACAGTGATTGGAATGCATGTTAGCCATGTTTATTCCTTAATTACCCTGACTTCATTAGTACAGTGGCATTAGAACAGTAGGACGTTAAACCCATTTCATTTCATTTTCTTAATTACCATCTACAATCCCCTAATAAGATTAAACGTCTGATACATCATTTTAGTGCTATTAAAATATCTAGTGTTAATATTTTGATTTTGTTGAATGTTAAATATTAAATTTAGCATGGATTAAGCCATTAGAAATTTGATTTTTAGCAAAAAATGCAAATGACACACTGTTACATTAATTAGCATAGCTTGAGTGCTTTAATATTAGATCCTATTTAAAATATGTCTTATAAATGCCGTAATTAGCCACATTCCCCGTGTCCTTTTTATCATGAAACATTCGAGTAAGCCAACAATACACAATGAATTATAGACTTCCAATTAAAACAAGATGGGTGACGAATTGCTATTGCACAACCCTCTTATCACACACATGACATAATTCGCATTTCCCATACAGCATAATTTCCAGTCACAGGGTTATAATTTAGAATGAATCAAAAACTCTCCACTAAGTTTCATACATTCGTTACCTATGTTTGTGTTTATTATTTACAACTTTACAGTCACATATTACACTTTCTCCATACAGTTTATTATAACTGTTAATTAGAATAAATTAATCTCAACAAGTAATTAATTAATTAGCACCTGACTGTTCTGAGGGATTAAGATTGTTAATTGGGTAATCAAGTTAAGTCTGTAGCTAGATCATCAAAGAAGTCGAAACAGCTGTATGTGTGTTCTGTTATCTTTGTCAGCCGACTGAATTAAAATAAGGTTTATCTGACATGCCTTACAATGGAATATCGGAAGTGCTAATGTTGAGAAAAGGATACAAACTTAATATGTCGAATTCCAGTGCAGCTTGATTCATTCTATATTAACTTTTAATTTACGTATCTTATACGATACCATATTGATTAGTTTAAAGAGTCAAATGTTAATTGAAGCGTGATATGAATAAAAATTGCCCATTCGCTTCGTAAAAATTCTTCTGCCTTAAATAGTGTTTGCTTATTTGGAGCTTAGATAATAATTAGTTCAGTCAGTATATTAACTGAACCGCCAATAAACATTAGTGTCCATCGTGTCCTGTGACGTGACACACCAATCTATCGGATTAAGGTTGTTATTGAATTATTGAAAAATTGTTTTAGAGCGTCTGACACATAAACCACAATATATCGATTAATTTAATCAGATTGGTGTGAAATTGTTATAAAGTATATATAGTAAACACTATCTATATACTCTTTAATTTAAAGTTCAAAAGATTTCAAATTCTGATTTTTGTCTGCAACTGACTGTTAATGTTACAGAAAATGTGTAGAACATCTATTGGATAGTGGATTCAGTTAATGATTGTTAGGCTTTAGACTACTATTTTTATAAATATTATTGTTAATGTGCCTATTTCTCAATGCCTATACATGTAGTAGTTAGTGCCTAAATATATATGACTGTGACAAAGGTTTAAGTTTCTGAATGATTTCTTTTTATCTGTCTGTCTGCATATCTGTGAGCATTTTGTTATTAATACTAAAGACTATATTCAAATTTGGTGTCAACCATTACTTATTTACGAGGAGGAACCCTGTTAGTAAGTGCAGGAGAACAGAACTACAAGCAAAATAAACTGATAAGAGAAATCTGCAGACAAGACAAACTAATAGGCTTTGCAAGAAATAAACAACATTTCTCAAAGGAAGAGAATAGATCCAGGTGTCCACTGCTTTGTACAGTCCTGAGTCCTGACCCTGTAATGATACAGGCACCACTCAAAATCCCCCCCCCCACCCCACACAAAAAAATTGTCTCTTGAATGGCGATAGTCTGCCAGTTTCAAAAACATTTAACAACAATAAGGCCGATAATCCAGATAGAATCTCGGAAATAAAGTGTAGTGAGCAAATTTCCCACATTATCTCTCCGTCCATCTGTCCGTCCGTTCATTGGTCAACAACTTGATGGTATTGAATGCCATAGTTTGGTGTGATGAATTATGATTATGTATACTTTAGACATAAAAGAAGTGACTGGAAGCATGCATGAATGGATTCTACTTACCAATATCTATACATTTGTAAGATAATTATTGTATACCTTTTTAATTTGATATTATAGGTACCAGAATTGTTTCATACTATTCAAGTGGTTTCCAAGGATTTTGTTAAGGATACGGAGAGTGAAAGCCATTCCACAGATCCACAATCTAATATGGTTGGCATAGATCAGTCGAAAGCTCGATATGAGGTGATGTATGTTGGAAGAGCTAAACTCAGTTCCAAGAAAGTGCCTACAGGTTATATTGATGAACTTGTTGATAAATTACATGCTAAAGATGAAGAAAGACGATTAAAAAAATTGGAAGAAAGTGCCAGACGACAACGTAACCTCAGTGGTAACAGTGTGCGCAGTCTTCCAGCAACTTTGGAGGAAACAGTCGCAGTTACAGAAAATGAACTCATAGGTCAAAAAACTCGTCTTCATAATAGTGATACACAGTTTTCCCCAGCAGAAATGTTGTCAGAAGTTCAGTCTGATAGCTGTGAGAGTAGTGTGGATGATTTATCAAGTTGTGGAGATAGAATGATGAACTCAACAGAGAATGTAAGTGACATTGTTACAGAGAGACAGTCAAGATCATCAGTATCAAAATTAGATAGCAGTGAAGATATCAATGAACAACTGGAAAATAAAGAAACTGAGACACAAGATGTATTTTATGATCACATACCAAAATTTAGAGATGAAGTGAATCGTACCATGCTCTTACAAATAGGACCTGTAGATCTTTCCTTTATCAGTTTAGACAAGAAATTAACTATTCTTGAAAAAAGATATAAAGATATATCATTTGTTTCTCAGGTAGGTCTTTATATTATGTATATGAGACACAATGAAAATACTCGACTGGTTTTACTGTAAGTGCTGGAGAATCATAATGCAACAGGACCCCTCACAGTAGTAGAAGTACAAGAAAATGTCAATATGCGATTCGTCAGCTTTGTTGAGGAGTTGTCACACTTTGCTGTCCAGTCCTTGGGTGATCTCGAGGGGACCCTATCTTCTGGAAACGATTGACTAATCGCAGGATGCTAGTCTGATGGCATCAAAACCTTTTGGTGATGGGTCTGGTACTAATGCCCTGTTGAATTAATGCAATTGTTAAGACTTCCGCAGAGCTGTGGGAGTTGTACTGACCCTAGCTTACAATTTTTGTGTTTAAGAGAATTGATTTGTGGTGCATTTACGTGATAGTCCAAACATTATTCAAACATGTTATCGTCATGATCTGATAGTGTTGCATTCAGAATTACAAGATTAAAATGTATCTATTAAAATGAGATTTACAATCATTCATTTATAAAAGTGTCTCAGATAACAAAATTTCTTCTTATTTGAGAATGGCATATTAAAACAAGCTACTTCAATAAATAATGTGACAGACTAACACTCCTAGTTATAGTGCCATACCCGGTACTAAACGAACTCAAACACTAATTATTGCTCAAATTTTTTTTAGAGTCATCCATTGATTGATTAGCCTGCCAATGGTTGAGCATCTAAATTGAGTCATATAGCAGATTTCTTCATGAAATATAACACTGTCACAAGATTGACATGAAGATTTTAGGGGTCTCAAGTAATCAATTAAAAAACAAGCATGACTGCCAAAATCAATAATTATTAATCCTTATATGAAACAGTAACCCTTTTGATGTTAGTGTACATGTACATTCAGTGATTTCTTAACAGTATTCTTTTTCTTTGTTTATATACGCCCACACAGAAATATGGCCGTATAAAGTTTTAATGAGCTCTAAAATTCTTTGAACTCATATGTATTCTCTTGCTAACGTTATTCAACATGTGTTTTTGATTTTTGCATAGTTTCAAAATTTATGACTTTCTGTTTAATAGACTTGACATCAATTTATTTTTGAAAGTGATTGAAATTGTTTTGTTTATGAAGGGTAACAACAAGTTAGATGTGTTTGGAATTATTGCCCGGGAGTCAGGAAGAGAATTTATTTGCCATATACTCAAGTGTTACTCAGAATCAGTGGTAAGATATTAAGTGATAGATCGAGATGAGAGTCTTATAAAATTTAATAGATGTGTAGAAAAGTGGTTTTCCAACACTCACAAATGATCTGTCATTGGCCCAAATCCTCAACAACCAAAGAAAGTGTGCAGTATTAGGTGAACCCTAAAAGAAGATAAATAAATAAAGAATAATTGCAAACTTATACAATATTGACAAATAATGATAATTTTGTAAACACTGAATATTAATGCGAGAGACATTCCCATTGTACTTTTTTTTATCTATGATTAAATATTTAAGGTTACCGATATTATGAATACTCTACAGTCAGCATTTAATTCAGCGTTTGAGAAGAGTAGAACTATTCAACCTTCAACACAACATCAGATCTGCGTAATGTGTCCACTACACCAGTTACACAAACTCTGTCAAGAAATAAATGGTAAACTAATAATTCTTGTTTAGTGAATAAAATTTGTCTGGAAGACAAAGGCTGTTACTATGAGCTTGCAATTACCACAATAATAGACTGTCAAGTTTATTTTTTATACATCCACATTTTCATTTTATTTTCCAAACATCTCTGTTCTTTTCAATGTGGCCTGATTGTATGAAAAATCACGTTTTTAATGTATGGACCCTTCAGAGGTCACAATTTTAATCTGATTTGATGAATCAATTGTGGCCCCCTGCTTGTACGAAAAATGACGTTTTTACCTTTTAAAATCGTTCAAATATATCACTGTTACACTCTAATTATGGTTGAGTTCTAATTTTATGAAAGATCTTTGATAAATTTCGATTTTGGTGCCCCCTGCCTTTTACACAAAATGTGAAATATGTTGAAAGTTTGTAGACCATCCGAGTCAACAATTCTTGTCCTATTTAGATGAAACATATATATATATGTTACGGATCAAAAGACTGGATGAGTTTTATTTTGGTGTACATTATTGAGCCCCTGCTTTTATTGCAAAATGTCAATATGTACAAAGTTTGTGCACCACACCCTCCAGGGGCCACTTTTTTTGTCTGATTCAGATGAAACTCAACATATACGTAAAAGATTAAAAGATCTGGGATGAGTTTGATTTTGGTGTGTATCAGACCTTTGTTCTATTAATTTCCCCTATTCTCTGCCCATCTTTTGCAAAATGTGAGCAGTGCAGCCTCTTGTTTATTTCTGTCAAAGGCTATTGTCGTTTTTGACAATAGATCTGATCAATTGTTTTCTGCATATTTCATTTACTTTATTTATTAATTATTAAGTGTTATTATTTTAGGTATGAAAGGACAATTGGCACATGAATTATTAGCAAGACGAGTTCAACATTTATCTGAAGCTGATTATAATGAAGTATTAGACATGTTAAGGGTAGGTGTATATTGAATATTATAATGAAGTATTAGACATGTTAAGGGTAGGTGTATATTGAATATTATAATGAAGTATTAGACATGTTAAGGGTAGAAAGAGTATTATACACAGTGGCTCAGTGTGTAGGACACTGGCTTGCTAGCTTGAAGGTCGCAGGTTTAATCCTGGTGTTGGCTGAGAAAGTTCATCAGGGTTTTCTGGCGACGTTTCCCCTTGGCAGTGGTGCAAGACAGAGGACCTGACAAGGACAGCTGTCTTGTCATTCGGATGGGATGAAAAACTGAGGTCCTGTATACGCATATGCCTGTCTTCATTAGCCCAGTCAGAGCAGAGCAGTAGGACGTTAAACCCCATTTCATTCATTTCACACTAATAGGTTTGTTACTGTAAAGACTATAACTTTATGGCCCTTGATCATTTTTTTTTTAAAATCCTGTGGCCCTTGGATCTACTTAAAGTAGCTAAGTCTCTAACTCAATATCATCTAAAGTCTTCGACATTGAAAACACAAATTATTTGTCAATTTAAATTAGCATTGATTTTGTGATCTTACCGGGAAAAGATGGGCTTCTGATATCCAATATTTAAGACAAAATAAACATTTTACCATAATGCGTTTCAGCGCTATTTGTAACAAGGGACTCGAAGAATGAGGCTAGACATATTCCACAAGTCATGTCAAATGGTGACAACATATTCTTATCTGAAGATCATGCGCAATAAATAATATCGTTGTAGACTGGAATAGCCAGAAGCTAGAGGTTGCCATTCTATTGAGAGGTATGGCTTATTTCGCCGAACATAAATGATTTGAAATCAGAGTAAAAACGGAAACGATTGAATGTAAATCAGTTTATACATTCACATTACATTATATGCGTTGCGATCCGTTTGTGCCAATTTCTAGGTCCCAAATATTAAGGATTTAGATCCCTTAAAATTGATACACAGTGTTTAATTCATGAGACAAATAAGCCTATTGATTCTCAACAATTTCCGATAACTGCTGTCTATCTATGGTCATCTTTTTTTTTTAGTCATAGCTGCCGATAACTGCTGTCTATCTATGGTCATCTTTTTTTTTTAGTCATAGCTGCTGTATATGGGAATCTTTCCATGTATTGCATGGCTATCTTATTGTTATGAGTAGTTCTTTAGAAAGTTTTATTTTGTAGGATGAAAATCCTCAGACACATGAAGAAATGGTAGAATTAATCATGATATCTTTACGTCAGTTGTGTGAAAGAAAACAAAAAGAACATCTTCACATTTCAGAAGGATCAAACTCAAGTAAACCTGAGGTAAATTTGGTAGTAAAATAAATACAATTTTATTTTTGTATGCAGAAGAGAAGGATTTAGTTTAAATATCAGTATTTCAACCCTCTTCCAAATCAAGGATAAATAAAACTCCTCAATTCATCCTTTGGATTCATGAGCCAGTATTTCCTTTTAACTGCATGGTATGAAAGTTGATGAAAGATGAATTATGTAAGATTTAGATAAAGAACTGACATTTCTCAATATAATAGTTTTAGAATAGATAATGAAAAGGGAATATATTGAAATTTCACTCAAATTACTTCATTCTGAGCAAAGTTAAGACTGTTTGAAGAATAGTGTAGTCTTGATTTTTATTGCCACTGTTGCTACTATAAAAAACAAAGTCTAGATTATCTATTTTTAAATTAAATTCTTATAATGGCAACCGTTTTTTTATCCATTGAAAGTCATAACCATCCAATGGTTTAGAGGGTTGATTATGGGCTTGTCAGGTGAATAAATATTTAAACAATAATTTATACAACATTTGAGGCCAAAAGAAAGACCTGCAATAGGCAGATTTAACTCTTACATAATGCATCTTTAAGTCTATGGTGCAAATAACCGTGGTAAATTAAAGTTCCACGTTAACTGGATGAAAAACAAAACAAAACAAAGGTTAGTGGGGGCAACATTAACATGTGTGCCCAGATGATTTGTTTCTGCTAGTTGAGCAATAATTTTATGTGAACAGATTGTAGTTGGTAATTATTTACAGCTCTTTATTCTGTATAATTATTATGGAAATTTCAGTTCAACTTGCTAGAAGATAAAACTAAATTCTTTGACAACTTTCGAACTAAAGCCAAGAAAAGTTTAGCAACTTCTTTTGAGAATCTACTAAGGGTAAGATATTTATTATTCAACACTTGGTCCTATCATTTGTTAATAAGCAGGGTGAAGACGGGAATATTTGATTGGCTTAAAAACCATCAAAGTATACAAACTTAGTTTAAACAATATTTTATTTCTTAATGAGTCACAGATATGTTTACATACTATATATGGATACAATAACAAGTATACAAATTGGTTCTAAAGTAACACAAACCCTAGCATTTATTTTTGTTGAAAAATAAATGTTTTATTCTGTATTTTTTTGGGTTGTAAATATGTAATTTACAAAATTTTGTTACTTATTAGTAAGTGCAGGAGGAGTATTTATCTATTTTTGAGTAGAAGTAAAATTTCTATGTTATTTTGTGAACAAATGATTGATATCATATGTCGTTGTCAATATGACAATTTTCAGCAGACATATAACTGACTACTTAGGGGTGATTACAGTACTAGCTACAATACAATATCTTACAATAATTAATCTATCTTTTTTGACTTTTTGAGGTCATGAGATATTGTCTGTATAATTAAAGGTACATTCCCACGAAAGTATTTATAGGGTAGTTATTTCCAATAAAAGTATGGCAAATTTTGGTATATATGGAAAGTAGAGACACCCAGTCTTACTAGAAAAAAACTGAATTCCCTGAAAAACATGTGGGATGTACACAAGACAAAAATGTGAGGGTATCCCTGAAAGACAGCCTGGAGTGACATTAGAAGCACTTCTAATGTTGATCTAATGGCTAACGTTTTGTGAGAACATTAAGAGAATTCAATATCCAGTAGACCTTATGATTAAACATCACAAAAAGAAGTTGGCAGAGGATGATCCAGGAATTTACTAATGATAAATCCAAGCTGGTAAATGGGTACCAGTGCTATTTTTTTATATTTGTTGCTGTACCATCTTGACACATACTCATAGCCACATACGTAGATATATTCACTTGTTAATATAATGTTGTAACTAATAGTTGGTACATTCATGAAGATTTAATATGATGAATATAAATTATGATGTCTATGACCTCTGGCTAATCCTGTACAGTTATTTAATTGATGTAAAAGTTTAGTATAGTATATAGTGTGATATGTTAATATAGCCTGTAGGTATTGACTTGAACTACCATACATATAAACTAATACATGTAAAAAAAAAAGGCCAGAAGGCATAATATTATATACTGGGTATGCCATATTGGACATTAACCGTTGTTAACATATAACTTATACTTATGTTTTTGAATGAGGTAAATAAATCAGGTTTATTATTACAACAATTCTCATTTGTTGTTGACAAATATACTGTAATCATTGAGTCTAACAGTATGGTTCATTGGCTGCTCAAGGTAAGCCTGCTGAATGCTATATTCAACCTTTTCTATGTTGAGTCTTTTTCACTGAATATGTTTAAGTGTCAGTTAAAGTCTCAATGCCAGAAGTCCAATCGATCATTTTCCGTATTTAAAAATAAATTCAACAAAAATAGTGACTGGAAAGTTTTCTTTAGACAGTATTTTAAATGATTAATACCATGTACAATAAACCAGTGTTAGATATATACCATCTACTGCTTTTTGTTCATGGATAGTAATTTAATTATAATTCAAGTAATCAGTTACAAGATGGTGGCAATAGGGAATAATTTAATAAAAACTTTAGATTGGTTTTAATCATTTTTGTAAACTTTATGATAGCCTTGAGGTGATAAACTTTTTATTCTGTATGATCTGAAAGTCTATATTTATCTTTTTGTGTGAAATGTTACACCTTTAAGACTCTTTTCAAGCACAATTTTTTAGTTTGCTTACTATATACCAGCCTAGAGACTACAGTTTGCTTACTATATACCGGCCTAGAGACTACAGTTTGCTTACTATATACCAGCCTAGAGACTACAGTTTGCTTACTATATACCGGCCTAGAGACTACAGTTTGCTTACTATATACCAGCCTAGAGACTACAGTTTGCTTACTATATACCGGTCTAGAGACTAGTTTGCTTACTATATACCAGCCTAGAGACTACAGTTTGCTTACTATATACCAGCCTAGAGACTACAGTTTGCTTACTATATACCGGCCTAGAGACTACAGTTTGCTTACTATATACCGGTCTAGAGACTAGTTTGCTTACTATATATATACTCTTCAAAAAAAAGTAGGGGATATTGAAATGCAAATACCTATGCAGGTTGTGATATGATAAATAGTCATGGACACTTGACATGCTTTGAGAGTATGTTCACAGATGAAGAACTTATCGCCCCAACAGAACCACCGAGCTGCACATGCGACACGCAATAGCACCATACACGTGGGAGAGGTTCATTGTCAAATTTGACACTTCAGGGAAGGGTTGATGAAAACTGCCGCTTGCTGGTTTATCCTATCCATGTTTGCTTTCCTATCGGTTCTTGCATAAGATTTACTGTTTAGCGTATCTTTGCTTTAGTGTGTTATTTAATTTGATCGGGAGATGTGTTCGTCAACGTCAACGTCAACCGACAAAACTGCAAGAATTGGCTGTGACACTGCAAGAGGAGTGGGTCAGATTGCCCCAAATCGTGATTGGATGGTTGATTAGGAGCATGCTACGACGAATTGCTGATTGTCTGAGGATTGGTGGAGCAATTACTCATTATTAAGACAAAAATCAAAAACGTCCATTTTCACTTTTGACAGCGTATCTCTCTGCGAGTGAAATGGGGCCGTCAGACAAGCCGCCATATGAACTGTGTATGTTCATGTGTAGGCAATTGGCCTATTATTAACATACACTGGTTACCTCTAATAAAAACAGCAGTGCATTTCCACAGTTTTGTATATTTTGAATATCCCCTACTTTTTTTTGAAGAGTATTTATATATATATACCAGCCTAGAGACTACAGTTTTTAACAAATTTGTTTTCAAACTTGGTGTGAAGCATTGTAGTCATGAGAGGTTGAACCCTATGTATTCTTTTAACCTTAAGTCGTGATGATAAAGGCTAGAGATAGTAACTGGTGATTATTAACAGCTAATAATAGAGAATGCTTTTAGATGGATATATTTTTTTGTATTCCCAGAGAATGTTGTTTTTGACATGGAAATTGATTAGAATATTGTGATGTTGCATGAGACCATGTGACCGATTCTTGCCAAGAAAAACGATTACTGATGAAAATATTGTGTTATCGTGATGAACATTTTATTTCCGTCAATGTTTCTTTGCCATGAAAAATTATTGAAATATTCTGATGGTGATAAAGATCCTGGGTTAAACTATTTGGCTGATAATTATGAAGAAAAGTGATTAATTTTGGGATATCAGTAAGCTACTTAACTGGATGTGTTATGAATAATCACCAAGATCCTATTTCGTTTCGATTTTTATAGTTCAAAATTTCATTTTTATACGCCCACATTTTCATGTGGACGTATATTGTCGTCGCCCCTGTCCGTCCATCCGTCCACAATTGTTTGTGAACAGTCTACAGGTCACAATTTTTATCCGATTTCAATGAAACTTGAAATATAGGTTTATCACCCTAAGATCTCGGTTCCTTTTGATATTGGCATCTATCTGACCGTAACTTCATGGATTATGGCCCCTGATTGTACGAAAAATAACGTTTTTGGCTTGTGAACACTGTAGAGGTCACAATTTTTATCCGATTTTGTTGAAACTTGAAATGTAAGTTTATAACCCAAAGATCTCGGTTCCTTTCGATATTCGCGCATATCGGACCGTAACTTCCTGAATTATGGCCCCTGATTGTACGTAAAAACGCGTTTTTTGGCTTGTGGACCCTATAGAGGTCATAATTTTTATCCGATTTTAAAAAGCTTATTATTATGTCACTGTTAAACCCTAAGGTTGGTTGAGTTCGAATTTCGTTAAAATCGGCCCAAAACTGACAGACAAAATGGCCGCCGTTCGTTCTCAAATAGCGTAAAAATATGGTATATCAAGGTTGTGGACCCTATAGAGATCACAATTTTTATCCGATTTTGTTGAAACTTGAAATGTAAGTTTATAACCCAAAGATCTCGGTTCCTTTCGTTATTTGCGCATATCAGACCGTAACTTCCTGAATTATGGCCCCTGTTTGTACGAACAATCGCGTTTTTAACTTGTGGACCCTATAGAGGTCATAATTTTTATCCGATTTAAAAAAACGTATTATTATATCACTGTTACACCCTGAGGACGACTGAGTTCAAATTTCGTGAAAATCGGCCCAAAACTGACAGACAAAATGGCCGCCCCTCGTTCTCAAATTGCGTAAAAATATGGTATATCAATGTTGTGGACCCTATAGAGGTCACAATTTTTATCCGACTTTGTTGAAACTTCAAATGTAAGTTTATAACTCGAAGATCTTGGTTCATTTCGATATTTGCGCATATCAAATTGTAATTTCCTGAATTATGGCCCTTGATTGTAGGAAAAATCACTTTCGTTTTAGCTTGTTTTCTATCCATCTCTCGGAAATGTGGGCGTATCCTGCCTGGCAGCCGCTGGTACTTGTCTTTACTACAGTAGGATCTGGAAGAGTTGTTATATAACCAATATTCTGGATGATGTATGGGATTAGCCAATGAAACATAACACACTGTAACCCAGGGCCCGGTTCCTAGAAAATTCTTAAAGTAAGCACAAAGTCATGCTTCACGTTTTCTTATGTAAGAAACTTATAAAAATACCGTCCCTAGAAAATTCTCAAGACCATTCTTACGAAAGCACAAGTCAAGTATAAGTCTAAGCACATTGTGACTGGTAAAGTTTACCATAAACTGAGACTACGATGCTCTTTAACGTCATAAAAACAACGTTGGTATGCGAATTACGTGTTAAATTTGTCGTCTGCGTCATTGACGTCATGTATATATTATATGGTTCATTTCGATGCATTTGACATGTCCCCTATTCACATATAAAATGTGCCACAAGATAAAAAACAAAGACGCATACAAACTAACTGAATAATTGTGAGAGCGCCTGATCTTAAAGTAGCC